TAATATATATATATATATATATATATATATATATATATATATATATATATATATATATATATATATATATATATTCTACCTGATTGTAAGAGTATATACATGTAGATGCGCTTTCCTATGTCTGCGCCCGATGACAGTTCAAGGCGCAAGTACGTATCCTTTGTCGCTCACATACTGACACACCTCATACGCAACGAAGGCTTAGGCTTACCATATGTAGCTCGGTGATTTTGTGGTTCCCAATAACTTCAAGGGGAACGTTGTTATCCAGTAGCTGACCCAGGCATCCCAATTGGTTATGTTTGATGGCTGCTGTTACAGCCGTATGCCCGTCAATGTTCGGAAGCCCCACCCAAATACCCACGCTGAAAAGGGTCTGTGATACGCAGTAGGGGTAGTGGGTTGAAAACCAACCGACACTCAAAGTCCATCGAAACTCGCCGTTAATTATATATTGGTATTCACGAGGTGCCTATTTGTCTTATACATAGCACAGTATAAACAATTGCAGAGTATCTGTGTCTGGTCACATATTTGAGTCCGTACGTTGGTGTCGAATCGCGTTAGCATAGAATTTCTAGAGTCACTATGTGTGTTTAGCTTTGTAATACGTACCTGACTTTCTCGTGTCGTTGTCTATACGATACAGACGGTGTTGCAGTGAATAAGTGATGCGCTTTGCCTAAAATCCAATACTTGTAATGGTATATCGCTATACACAACGGTATACGTAAACATAGTTGAGCACATGGCACACGATACATACATAAGATTCAGAGTGTTGTGAATCATAATTTCATCTTTCGAAATCAGCCACTTGCCTGCGAAGACTATGTGCGTCTATATGAGTGATGCAATAAACTTATACATACACACACTCACACACATTCATACACATGTGTGTGTTTTATACGTTCGCACAAGTATGCTCATGTAGTGCATACTCGCCCACTTTGTTGATGCGCGTCTGACACTTGGAGCTACTTACAGCATATAACGCAGTACTGTGCGTACCGCACTGTAGTTTCTTGATTTCATACTGGCAACGTAATGACATACGACAAAGGCGTAGTCGAATATTGACACTCTGGAAATATCTACATCGCCGGCGCTACTATTTCACTACATACACAAATGTACTTACACCCATACGCTATTGTATATACGTGCGGGACCTTTCACACACTCATCTGTCTGCCACACCTTCATAGCCACTATAGCTCCCAATTCTGCAGCCTTGTGTAACACAGACTGCCCGTCCAAAGTGTGAAGATCGGTGTAAGCCCCGTATTTGACGAGAATTCTGATCATATCCACGTTGTTAAGCGCTACCACTTTGCTGAGGGGGGTCTCTGCATATGAGATCAGCAGTATGTGTAAGTATATTCACATTTTTTATATGTTCTATATGTATCTATATATATATGTGTGTGTGTGTGTGTGTGTGTGTGTGTGTGTGTGTGTGTGTGTGTGTGTGTGTGTGTGTGTGTGTGTGTGTGTGTGTGTGTGTGTGTGTGTGTGTGTGTGTGTGTGTGTGTGTGTGTGTGTGTGTGTGTGTGTG